AACACAAAAACAAATCTAACTAGGTAAATACATGAAACACAAACACTGAAGTTGTATGTCAAGAAATGGTTAGCCAAGCATGGTGATATATACCTGCACTCTGCAATGCTGAGGCAAAAAAATTACAACTTTTATCCCAGTCTGAGCAACTCAGAAAGTTAGGCCGACCATCTCTCAAAATTTAAAAAAAGTGGGCTTGTGGATGTCACTGAGTATGAAGGTCCTGGATTTAATCCCCAGTATCACAAAAATAAAATAAAAGTTTAATCGTTCTACTAATCCATTATAATCAGTTAGAACTATGAGATATTTTTAGACATCTTTTGATATGGCTAAGTTTGTTATTGTGATTTTATTTTTCTGATTTGTTTGGTACCAGGGATCAAACTCACAACCTCAAACCAGCCACGCAGGTGCTTATACCACTGAGCTAAATCTCCAACCCCTAAGATTTTATTATTTTTATTTTTACTGAAATTTTCTGTCAGTGAATAGTATTTTTAAATTTTAAATTTTAACTCATATAGAGTTTCATGCAACATCACTTCAAGATCCAGAAAAGTTCCCTGTGGAAATAGAGATCATCAATACCGACTTCAAAAACCTCTACTCTCGTGGGTTTGATAACACAGAAGAAATGAACAGATTCCTAGAAACATGAATTATAAAAGCTGGACCAACATGTAAAACTGCTGAATAACCCAACTGCAATTAATGAAATTGAAAATGTAATTAAAGCCCTACCTACAAATAAAAGCCCAGGTCCTGAGGGATTCACAAGAAATTCAAGGAAGACTTAATGCCGACACTCCTCAAACTCTTCAATGAAACTGAAAGGGAAGCAATTCTCCCTAACTCATTCCTGGAAACAAGTATTTCCCTAATACCAAAACCAGAGAAAGACCAAACCGAAAAAGAGAACTATAGGCCAATCTCCCTAATGAATATAGAGGCAAAAATCCTCAATAAAATATTGGCAAACACAATGCAGCAAATTATCAAGATTATACACCATAACCAAGGAAGATTCATCCCAGGAATGCAATGATGGTTTAACATATGCAGATCAATAAATGTAATTCACCATATCAATACAGCCAAAGATAAGAATCACATGATCATTTCAATAGATGCAGGAAAGGTTTTGATAAGGTCCAATACTCATGCATGATAAGAATTACAGAAAATTGGAATAGATGGTCTTTACCTTAATAAAATAAAAGCTATCTATGACAAACCAACAGCCAACATATTACATGATCAAAAACTGAAAGTTGTTACTCTAAAATCAGGAAAAAGACAAGGATGTCCTTTATCACCACTTCTATTCAATATAGTGTTGGAAATACTAGCCAGAGCAATTAAACAAGAGAGAGAAATATAAGGAATGAGGCTAGGAAAAGAAGAAGTTAAATTACTATCATTTGCAGATGACATGATACTCGACATAGAAGACACTGAGCTGAATACACACTTCTGAGATGAAGAAATACAAATGGCAAGTAAATACATGAAAAAAATGTTCAGCATCATTGGCCATTAGAGAAATGCTAATTAAAACCACACTGAGATTCCATCTCATTCCAGAAAGAATGGCCAGGATCAAGAAAGCCAACAACAACAAATGCTGGAGAGGCTGTGGGGAAAAAGGAACTCTTCTGCACTGTTGGTGGGAGTACAGACAGTGCAACCACTATGGAAATCAGTGTGGCATTACCTCAAAAAGCTTGGACTGGAAGTCCCATTTGACCTAGCTATTCCACTTCTGGGCATATTCCCAGAAGAACTGAAAACATCATACCACAGTGATATATGTGCACCCATGATTATAGCAGCACAATTTGTAACACTCAAGTCTTAGAAACAACCTAAATACTCATCAACTGAGGAATGGTAGAAAAGATGTGGTACTTTTATATAATGGGGTACTACTCAGCTATAAAAAAGGAACACATTGAGGCTTTTATAGGATGCAACTTGAGATCATGCTTATAAATGAAATAAATAAAAACCCCTATGTAAATATCATATTATCTTCCTACTGTAATAAACTATAAGAGCAAAAAAGATATAAAATCCTCAATAAATACTGTGAAAGGGTAAGAATCTGCTCAAAGGGGAAAGGACTGGATCAATTTTGCATGTTTATATCTGATAATCTGAGAAACTCTTTTGAAGATTACCATGCAAAATAACAACCTTAGTTATGTTCCTACCACCTTGTTTTGAAAGCCTATATTGTCATTGTTTGGGGCTCTATGTTGTTATTTGTCTTTTTTGTTTCTTATTTTTCTAGTAATTTGTTTTGTTTTTCCTTCTAATACAAAAAGGATAGATGTACATGTGGAGACTTATACAAGCCTAGAACTTCTCCTAAAGAGTTTATGAGAATTGACTGTATTATGCGTGATGATGCGAACAGCTACTTCAAAGAAAAACAGATAATATGGAAGTCATTGCTGATTTCCTATTATCATGCATGAAGTCCAGTAATGCTTTTATTCTTTGTTTAAAATAAACAGTTTTGGTCTGTTTTGTATTATTTAATTTCAATATATATGAAGGTATGGACAGCTATTTTGAAACGAACAAGAGACATTATAGTAGCCATTGCTGATATTCCTAATGTCTGGTTTTAAAGGCTTTTAAGGGTTTCATTCTTCTGTTTTGATCACTTTTATTCTATTTTGTTTTGTTTGAGTTCAGTGTGTGTATGAAGATGAGAACTATTTCAAAGAAAACAAGAGACATTATGGTAGCCACTGCTGATCTCCTGTTGTCTTGTTTTGAAATCTTGTGTCACTTGCTTTCTTCTGATATGCTTTGTTCTATTTTGCTGTTTAGTTTTACCCTCTTTAAAAAAAAAAAAAAAAAGATACAGAAGAGTTTCATCATGCTCTCTCTTCATAGTTATTCCCTTTCCCCACCCAAATCCTGGCAAACCCTAATTTCTTCTCCTTCCTTATAGTTCTAAAAGTGATATAATGGAAACATATTTACTATGTAAGTAATCTTCAGAGAAGGGTTTTTCTTGCCTGCTATAACTCCTCTGAGAAAATTCCAAGTTACATGCATCAAGTTTATTTTTTCTTATTGCACTCTACTATATGGATATACCACACTGTTTACTCACCTACTGAAAGACTTCTATATATATCTTTATGAGAACATATTTAAAAACTTTAATAAAGAACTGAGAAAAGAAACACTTAAGAATGGTACTAATAAAATAAGTATTTACTTTAAAAGAATTGATGCTATCTTTACAGTTGAGAACAGCAGATTTTGATATTTCATTAACAATTACTCTTAAAAAGAAATCTTCAAGAACTAAGAATAAAAATTCTGTTTCTTTAGCTTCTTAGGAATAAAATATCAAAAATGAGTAAGAAAAATAATTAGAATTAAAGTTAGCCAAAATAAAGTATAGAAAATATATGATCATGATCATCACACAGTCTCTTATTACACATTTAAAATAAGGTAATGCAAAAACGTATTCTTTCCCTTTCTCTAAAATTTAATCCCACACACAAAATAACTAATCCTCTTTTAAGTGATGCATTTACTTCCTTTTAATATACTATTTATAAAGGTTACTATTGTGTTTAATAAAATAGTATACCTTTTCTTTTTTTTTTTTTTTTGTCTTTTTTCATTTTTATCGGTACCAGGGATCGAACTCACGACTGCCTGCTTGCAAGGCAGGCGCTTATGCCGCTGAGCTAAATCCCCAGCCCCAGTATACCTTTTCTATTTCATTGCACAAGCAAAGTACACATAACACTAAATACTAAATAAAATACTACTAAAAACAGAAATCTCAGAGAAGTTTTCCCAATTCCTGCTAGGTCAAGCATTACTAAAGCAACATTTAGTAACTCAAAAATTCACACTTTCCCTACTCATTTCTAGAAATAAGGGATACTAAAGGAGCAGCAATGCAAGGAAGAGGCTTCACATTCCTGAGCTACGTCTTGGAAGAGAATAACCTAAGAGCATCAGAACATAACATAAGTGAGAAGTAAACTTACATTGCCTTTAGCCTCTGAGAATTTGGGATTGTTATCATTAATTATCATTTAACTAATAGTTCTTGTCATTAACTGGAATATTCTAAGGAGAATTAATGGCAATGTGTCTTTTACTGAAATTAATTTTTTTTAATTTAAACATTCACATTATTATTCAATCACACCTCATGTGTTTTTAAAACTATTTATTAAGGCATAAGAGCCGTATTACATAAGAATACATAACTCAATCTTCTCATTCCATCACTTATCCATATGACAGTATGTAACATCTGAATAGTAACATGGAATCTACATTTTTGACATTTCAATAGGTACTTTTCAATTACCTTTTCTCATTTTTAACAATTTTCAAAAACCTATTATATTTACTTTTATTCTGCTTAACTACAAGCTAGTCAGAACTATCTTAATATATACAAGTTGTTTAAACCATCTTTTTCAAAATCTGTGATTATTGATACATAATTGAAAGGTAAATTAACATAATTCCATAACTGTGAGAAAATTCTGAGACAAATCTTTTTTCAAAGATCTTGAATTGAGCAGGTATATTCCATATATGAATTTAAAACAATATTTTCCCTACAACTATTCCAGAGTATTTGTTTTTAAGATGTGTTCATCTAAAAACCACACAAAAACTTGTAATGAGTTTTATCAGCTAAAAATAAAATATTCTAAATCCTAATTGATGAACTAAAATGAACTTTACAGTTAGGATTCTAGTGGTTGATAAAAAATTTGTAATAAAATTAAATCCATATAAAATTTTATATTTTTAAAAAGTAAACATTCTACTCTGAAGAAAAAAGGCTAACCTGTTTTATATTTATTAAAATGTTTCTTTTGTGTTAAAATATATTAAAAGAGACCTCAGCATGACTCCCATCTTTCTCTACTCTCCACTTTTTAAAAAAGCTTAAAATAACTTAGTTTAAAAACAAGTCCATGGAAATGGCATACTTATCAAATTTCCACTTGCATCCTTCAAAGGAGCACCACCTCCACTTTTTCCCCAAGGGTTGTAAATTTTCATTTCAGCTTCCAGTTTAGCTTCATATTTTTCTTTTTCTTCACGTTCTTTCTTCCTTCTTTCTTCTCTTTCCTGAATCTTAACAACATAAAATACATTTCAAAGTAAGAATGAACAAGTAGGCTAATAAAGAAGTTGGTGATATCAGATGTTAGTGTATTCTTCTGATTAGGAAAAATAGAATCTGGAGATAGTTTTCAGTGTATTTCATTCTTCAGTATAAAATCACCAATATTTGTAATACAAAAAGCACTTAAATGGCTACAGCTACTGTTCCCCCTACAACATGCCACCAGACGCCTTTCCAACCAGTGAAGCCACTGAGACTCAGCCAACTCCTCCTTCTCTCCCCCAGCTTCTCCAGAGCCATTCTCTCCTCAACCTCATCAGTTCCATGGAACCATTAGGTGCTCCTCGCTCCTTCTCTATCCGCACTGTCACTGTCACTGCCCAATCACAGTCTACTCCCTGCTTCACCAGACCTACTCATCCTGGTCACAGTAACAGAGTCAGAACCTAGAGAAGCTGAACATTCAACACTGCTGGGGTAGTGCTAGGCCACTTTAAGTACAACCTTATGAAAACACGTAAAAGAAATACATTCGCATTATCATCAAGTGTAATCACAGGATTCTTCTCTAGAGATATATGCACAGGCAATGAACAACAATCTACATTTTACAAAGTCATTTTTAAACTCAAAAACACAGGCATGGTAAGTTTAGTTACTCTCCCTCTAGCACAAGTCAATAAATACATATATAAAATGACTTTTAGAGTTGAGAAATCTAGTTTTGTCAGTGGCTAATACACTCACTCAAAACCTGAATTCAAAATTCAGTATTTATTAATAGACATCTAACATAAAAAAAATGATGGGAATTCTATAGTTTTAAAGATCATTCTCTTGAGAAGGTTTCTTTTCCCATGTAAAAGTTGAATAAAAGTACATTAAGAAGAAATCTAAGTGGTATTATTCAAAAAATAGCTCAGTTTAGATACATATCCAAAACAAGAGGCCTCTCAAAGCTAAGAGAATTGCCCCCTCAAAACCCATACATTTTTTTTACTTTATTTGTTAATATTAAGAAGAAAAGGTAAAAAACAAATTTTCACAACAAAATAATAAAAATGTAATAATTGTTGATAAATTGCACATCTTTAGTCACTCAAGTACAAAATATGGGCATAAAAATTTCTTCAATTAGTATTAGCACAACCTTTCCTATTCAGTGAACTAAGTGACACTAATGGTATAACTAACTTGCATTTTTTTCTTTTCCCTTCTATCCTTTCTCTTTTCCCCTATCTTAGTTTCTTCTTTTTATTGAACAGTTTCCTCCCATTTCACAGTAACTATTGTATATTTTGAACCTTATGAAAACCCATACATTTAATAGCTACTCTTATGTCAACACTCTATGAACATTATGAACTACAAAAGAACCCATCATTCTCATCCCTAAACATTTCTCCTCCATGTACTCCCTATTTTGGCTTATAGCTTCATTATTCTCCTAGATTAGAGAACTCCAAAATATCTACAAGCCTCTGTTCTTTCTCATTTCCTATATCCACATCTTGTCCATGAAACCTTAGAATTATTTCTTCAGTGTCCTTCCTAATTCTCCATTCAGTGCAAGGCCTTATCATGTCCTGGCCATGTACTTCAACAGTTTACTAAGAAATCTCTTTGCTACATCTCTCCTAATTATCCAGCAGTCACATTCCCAAAAGCCAGCTCTGTTCAATCAACGAATCCTTTTTCTTTTCATCTAAAACTCCCTTTACTGGGCTGGGGATTTGTTCAGTAGGATAAGCACCTGCCTGGCAAGAGTAAGGTTGCAAGTTTGATCCCCAGTACCAAATAAATAAACAAATAAATAGTAAAATAAAATGAGATAAAATTCCCTTCTTTTAGCTGTCCATAAAAGGACAAAATTGAACACCCCTTCACAATCCAGCACAATTTAACTGTCCAGTTCTCCCAAAGCATTAATTCCAAAAATATACAGCAGTATCTAACCTATTTGTCATGTAACATGTCATGTAACATGTCTCAAATACCAACCGCCATGTGAATCCTCCCAACTGCCCAAGAAATTACTCTTCCTACCCTATGCTTCCAATAGCATTCCATGTATCCACACCAAATCTTATAGTGTTGAATAACAATTAACTGGCATTTTTCCTTCTCTGGCACACTCTTGAGTTCTAAACAAATAATGTTCAGCATTAAATGAATGAGGAATACCTGCTGCTGCAAAGCCTCTTGGTAAGACTGAAGAGACTGTTTACAAGGTTTTGGCTTATCTTCAAAAATCAGTCCTGAATTTACCACTGGGTCACTTGCAATTTTCAGTTCATTTTGTCCAACTGTATTCCTAAATCAAACAATTAACTTGATTTGAAATTATTCAAGGATAACAAAATTCAAGAAGAAAATGCAACTTTCATTTGAAACACCATGGCACATAAAAATATCTTAAAATAGAAAAAGAGATAACCACCACAGCATACACATGTAATCCCAAATACTCAGGAGACAGAGGCAAAAGATCAAATTTAAGGGGTTAGCCTGGGAAATTTCACAAGACCCTGCCTCAAAATTTGTTTGTTCATTCATTTGAGTACTTGAGAATGAGCCCAGGACCTTCATACTGAGCTACACTGGAGGATCTTTTTAAATTTGAGACCAGGTCTCACTAAATTATTAAACTGCCCAGGCTGCAGTGGTAATTCTCTCACAGCCCCACCTTTCCCAGAGTGCTAGGATTACAGGTGTGTGCCACCATGCATAGCTTCAAAATTAAAGAGGGGAGGACGATGGGGATGTAACTGAGCAGCAGAGCTTTGGCTTAGCAGGTACAAGACCCTGCTTTCAATCTTCAGTACCAGAAGTAAATGGTGGGGCGGGGTGGGGGGTTGATTCTTCTCTTTAAGTCAAAGAGGAACACTTAAGCAAGTAACTCCTGCATAAGCTCTCCCCCTCCTGCCTCTGCTCTGACAATCTATGAAATGTTCAAATTTATTGGGTTTATTTCTTGACTGAGGTGGCAGTTACAAGGGAGTGAAAATATCTGTTATAATGCACCAAGCAGTACATACATAATTTAAGCACTTTTTTGAACAAACCAAAATAACAAACCTGCCTGAAGTCCCTCAAATAGCACCATAATAATAACTTAATGAATAATTTACTCAATAAAATTTCTTTCTAAACATTTCAAAAATAAAGCAATTAGAGTAAAAAGTCTGTCTCAAAGGCTTTCTCATCTCCAAAAACAGAATCACTTAAAATAATGAGTTTCCCTTCTATAATTAATCTACTCAACTTATTAATAATCTTTTAACAGGATGAACAAGTATATCTGTGTTTACTGTCACACTGTAATCAGAACAAACATTTCCCAACAGAGCTGATACTTTTTCACACCAATTACAGTGGCTATAAATCACATGTGGACAGATTATCGCAGTGCCTCTTTCACTCCTTGTTCTTCCTACCTTCCAGCATACACTACGGGCCCAAATTATTTGTAATCAGAAACAGATGAGAAAAAGGGAAGAGTGTTACGGATACAGTTTAGTGACATTTAGCAAATTTACCGAGTTCTGCAACCAATACCACAACATTTTTTTTTTAAAGAGTGTAAAATTAAACAGAACAAAACAGGTCATAAGATAACAATGTAAGAGACATAGATTTCAAAGCAACACAACCGGAGATCTTCACTGTCTATCATATTGTCTCTTGTTTTCTTTCACAACATTTTCATAACCCCAAAATATCCCTTCTGCCTCTAATTCCTGCTCTCATCCTTACCCCAACCAATCACTAAGTAGCCTGATTTCTGTCTCTATTTCTGAACATTTCATATAAATCGAACCACACGATACATATGGATTCCTTCATTCAGCATATTTTTGAGAATGATCCATGTTATAACAGTAGTTTGATTCTCTCTACTGCTTAATATTACTTCATGCATGGATAAAAAATATTCTGTTTATCCATTCACAAATTGATAGACATTTCAATCATTTCCATTCTTTGGCGATTATGAATAATACTATGGTTACTTAGGTTCTGGTTTTGGGTCCCCTTCCAAGTATATTTTCTATGTTCTTTCTATTCTCAACAAAGGTCTGGTCAAGCAAAGCACAACAGGTAGTAAGGTTTTCCATTTATTAAAGGTAGGGGGAAAAAACAGGCAATAATAAAAAATATACGAATTGAACTTTATAAAAATTTAAAATTTTAAATGATAATATCGATGGAGTACAAAAACAACCCAAAGAGTAGAGAAAATATTTGCAAATCATGTGTCTTTATAGTAGTCATATCCTGAACACATCATAAAAAGCTATAATAATAAAAAAAGACTTTGCCAGGTATGGTAGCACATACTCGTAATTCCAGCACTTGGGAGGCTGAGGCAAGAGGATTACTACAAACTCAAGACCAGCCTGAACTACATAGTGAGACCCTGCCTCAAAAACACCAAAAATAAACAAACAACATAAAAGTTGTCAAAGGAGTTGAATAAACATAACATTTCTCTAAAGGAAAAGACAAATATCCAATAAGCACATGAAAAGATGGTGAATATCACTAATCATCAGAGAAACACAAATCAAAACTACCACTTCGCATCCCTTATGGCTAGTTTTAAAACATAAGAAATAAGTTTTGGCAAGTATGTAAAGAAATTAGAATCCCTGTGACCTGTTGATAGAAACACAAAATGATACAGCCAAAGTGGAAAACTGTATGGTAGTTCCCTCAAAAATATTTTTTTAAAAAATACTAGGTCTACTGGTACATGCCTGTAATCCCAGATACTTGGCAGGATCACAAATTCAAGGCAAATATAAGCAGCTTAGCAAGACGCTGTCTTAAATTTAAAAAATAAAACAAAAAGGCATGAACACAAAGCTCAGTAGTCTCTATGTTCAATCTCTAGGGCATGAAAGGACACGTAATTATTATATGACTAGCAATTCCATTTTCCACTCAAAAGAACTGTAAACAGGTCTTGAAAAGAGATTTGTACATTCATGCTAATGGCATTATTCACAACAGCTAAAATATGGAGTAAAAAAGGAACCAACACCCGTGTCTATTAATTCATGAATCAATAAGCAACACTTCTGGTATATACAATGAACTATTAGGAAATGTGACATGTTAGAATATAGATGAAAATTATGAATGTTACACTAAGTGAAAAAAGGCAGTTAGAAAAGACAAACTTTGCATGATTTCATAGGTGGTACTTGCAGTACTTGAAATCAGAGACATAGCAGAATTGTAGTTGCCAGAGTATGAGGTAAGGACCCATTATTATTTAATGGATGTGGAGTTTCAGTTTACAAGATGAAAGAGTTCCAAAGATGGCTGCATATTGAATGTATTAAATACCTGTACACTGATTAACATGGAAACTTTACATACACTTTAACACAGTATAAAAAAAGCTGGGGAAAAGGAGAATAAAGAAATTATTCTTTCAGATAATGACTTACACCATGGGTTGTGCTAGCTGGTGGGTAACAGGAGCACTAGCATAAGCTGCAGGCTGTACTCCCAATATTCCTGAACCATCTTAAAAGAAAAAAAAAACACACACACATTTACTTTGGAATCCCTATTTAACAGCACTTTACCCCTAAAGGAAAAAACATGTAATAAAAATGCTATCTAAGGAAAAGCATTAAGTATTTCTTTCTGGGTTAGGAGTTAGCATAGAACAATACAAGAAAACACAAAAGGTTATTTCTTAAACCTACATAAAAAGGAAACAACTACCAACTATAACGGGGTTTTAAAATAGGTATTGCTGTGTTGGCTCCCAGAATTCATGCAGGCATTTAATCACCAAAGTTTTGAGTTAATATATTTAAGACAATAAAAGTTTAGCATGATATGAGGTGTGACCGTTAAAAAGTGATTAAATAAGGTTAAAGCAGAGCCTCACAATTAAATTCTGGTGGCTTTGTAAGAAAAGGGAGAGACACTACACTAATACATGTGCCTACCATTATGGGTTATGAGGCGTCTGTGTGTGAGGAGAGTATCTTTGCCAGAACTGTACATGTTTTTTGGACTTTTAGGGTCCAAAGCTGTGAGCCAAAGAATACCCTTCTGTTTATAAAGCAGCCTGCTTTAAGTATTTCATTATAGTAACAAAAATAGACTGCTACAACTGTTGGCTTTATCAAATCAACAAATATGCTCAAATTAAGCAAAGTTATTTTTTACTTATATACTTTGCGTGCACAAAAACCATGTTCTTAAATCAAGTCACTGGAAAAAGATGTGTACGGGTGACTTACAATAGGCAAGACTAGGGTCCAAAGTATTTCTGGCACCATAAAAATAGTATGCATCATCATAAGGAGTTCGATAGTTAGTAGTCAGAGGTGGTAGTACGGGAGGTGGAGGCAGAGGGGCAATCCTGTATCAACAGAGAAATGGGAAATTCTTCACATATTTCATTGCAAATTTGTAATCAAGATATCATTCTTATTCTTTTATACTACATTCCCAAAACACTAATCACAAATTTAGAAAAAGCCACGATCTTTTTCTAATGATTCAGCAGAAATTATGAATAAAAAACCAAATGATATCACATTAAATATTATAATTTCAGGTACAACACTTTTACTGGACACAAACAAGCAATGCTGAATCAAGTACTATCCAGTAGTCACTATGTGCTCATGTCAAATGAAAACAGATATTATCTCTATCCCTCAGGAATAATACAGAAACAGACAATTACAACTAGATATGATAAATAAAACAAGGCACAGAGTGCTACAGGAATTCAAAGCAGACATACTTAAACCTCATAAAAAAGAAATCACAGAAGACTTTCCAGCAGAGGGAATTCATGTATCATGTTACTAGAGTGAGCTAGTATAGATAAAAGTGGGACAGTTAAGGAAGAGAAGACAGAGCTATAAAACCACATGACTGTAAATGATTTAATTTGAAGAGCAGGACTTTTAATCTATAAACTGTATTATTCTATCATAAGAAATCAACCATACTATAAACTAAAAATTACTTAAAATATTAACAGTTAAGTCTTAACATAATCATTAGTATCTCATAATCATTAGTATCTCAAACTAAAAACCTGAAATTCATTACTAATTAGAAAACAGCCCTAATGATTATATTGACTTGACTGTTAATATTTAAGTAATTTTTCCAATAGTAAAAATTTCAAATGTAAACTCTAAGATAAACAGAAAAAGAGAATATTTTAGCATATTTTCACTTTTAACTGTACATTAACAAATTTTCCCTTTCTGTATACTCCAAAGTATTTGTGAAGAACTAAGAAGATATTAAAGTTCTCTTCAGTGATGAATGTTTTTTCACATTTACTATTTATTCATTTGTCTAGCCACACTATCATCAAAGACATAGTGACAAAAGTTATAAAAAGGAGCTAATGTCAACAACTTATAACTTGTATAGATTTATGTAAGACTTAATATTCACAATGCTGTTAATAAGAAAAAAATTGTACTGTTCACTTTTATACATGAAAAAACAAAAGTTGACCAATACTTTGCTGAAATTCCATATAGTAAACTCCAGTTCAATCTCTTACCAGAAGCTAAAACCACCATACAATGCCCTGAAATTCTAATCCTATGCAGTCTGTTAAATATGAAAACCATCAAAGAAAAAGCACTTGATAAATACAGTAAACATGGCCCTACAATTTATTAGTAGTAAATAAAAGACCAACGTCTACTAAATAATGAACGGATACTACAGAAATGTGAGTGTTGTAAAGTTAAGAAAACCATCAACAGATTTAAATCCATTCATATAATTCATAAAAGTAAAGATTAAGCATACGTTATACAAAAATATTATGTCAACAAGATTTTCTCTATGTGTAGTCTAAAATAGCATGGTACCTTCTATCTACCGAAATCAAATCTTTACTCCAATACCAAGGTTACAGGTTTTATTATTTCAACACTTTTTACTCTAGAAAGCTGAGTTTTACATAGCCCCTGAGTAATAAGGAAAGAATTTAAGGAAATTAGCTAAAATCATATTTATATACAACCATATTAGAAACTTTTTCTGCGTAAGTTGAAGGAAAAATTCAATGTTTGCCAAGTAGAAATAACAAAATTGAGAATAATACACAGCTTTTATATGTTAAAATATATAAAATATCTGAATAGGATCTAAAACCCAAAAGTAAAATGTGTTTAATGATTTATTCTAGAAATAAAAATCATCTTTAAACAATTAAAGGATGTTAATTCCCTTGTGAAATAGAGAAATAAAAGAAAATAAATTTTAAGAGAAAGTATATAACAGTTATTAATTATACAAAATCTCTGAAAGATAATATCATCTAATTCAGTTTATCCTTTCAAATATTAATTAAACAATATGTTACCTAATTCCCGAACACAAAACATTTTAAACAAGCACCTGGGAGGCAGCATTTCACCAAGAGTGCTGCTGAGTCCATTGTGCAAATCTTCATTTTGAGAAGGGGCGGAGTGAATTGATGGAATGGGTGGGACAGAAGGAGTAGATAAAGGAGGGAGAGGAGTCTGGAAAGCTACTCTGGGTCTTTCAGGTGGTGTCATCTCTCCAAATTGTCTTGATGTCACACTAAACTGCTTTAGTCTATCAGGCTAAAATAAAGGAAAAAACTGTTTGTTATACAGTAGCACAAATTTAAAGGTGGAAAGGGGCTCAAAAGACCCTCTCTCCCAGCAGGCACTTAAAACTGTCATAGAATAAGAATTTTATAGCTATAAAATATTTTCATGATCTAATTCTTACTACATAAATGGGTAACTGAGGCTTTCTGACAAGTACGTAAATCACCTAAGGCCACATATCTAATAATCAATGAGAGTTAGGAATTAACTTTAAATGAGCCAGCCTTTCTATTATAATACATTACTCTGCTATTTCTCTATCCATTGCCATTTCTGCTATCAAAGTACTCTATACAGCACAGTCAGCAACTCCTTTCTGTGAAGAGCCAAAGAGTAAATATACTAAGCATTGCAATCTCTTCACAGCTGTCCCACTCAGCTATGGGACAGACAACATAGAAATGAGGGAGGCTGTGCTTCCATAAAACTATATTTACAAAACAAGTATCAGCTGGGTTCAGCCACAGGCCACATTGTGCTAACACCTACTATCAAACATTCATATATCCTTTTTAAGATCTGACATCAAAAGTAAATGCATAAGTAATGTTTAATTATTATCTCTGAAAAACGTTAAATACATAAATACATCTGCTTTTTAATATCGTAAATCAAATACACACTCTTTAAGGGTTTAAATTCAAATGTCAAATACTCCAAAATTTAACACACAAATAACTATATTTTTAAAAATCTCATTCATAAAATAAAAGGGTATTTTTTCATTGGAACCAAGGATTGAACCCAGGAACTTGGCAATGAGCTACATGAGCTACATCCCCATCTCTTATTTTTACTTTTTTCTTTTAGACAAGGTCCTGCTAAATTGCCCTGTAATCCTCAGGATTCATCCTCCCAAAGAGCTAGGACAACTGACTAAAAGGAAATTTTGACTGCAAAAATCATCAAAGGTATTTACTGATAGAAGAAAGCATATTTAACTTACAAGTTTATCTTGCTTTTTCTGGAATGATTTTTTAAATTAATCTGTTTTATTCTATGAACAGTCAGAAGTACATGGGAGAGATACTGTGCAGTATTAAACTGTTTTTTCTTTTTTTTATGCTGGGGATTGAACCCAGGATTTCATGCCTACTAAACACACTCTACTACTGAGCTTTACCCTTTGCCCTACTATTACTTTTTTAAAAATAAGTAACTCAAAGGATGTATACTTAGTATAGGTAGAAGTAAATCCAAAGCTTCCTACAGCTGAATAACAATTTAAATAATTCTAATGTTAAGGATTTGCTATTTCCTTATGTTTTGTTTATTTTGTCTTGAGACAGGGTCTCACTATTTGGTTCAGGCTGGCCTTGGGCTCACTTTGTAGCCCAGACTGGTCTCGAACTTGCAACAATCCACCTCCAGTGCTGGGATTACAGGAGTGTGCCACCACACCTGGCTCTGCTATATCCTTATGAAACAATGAACTTTTTAATAAAATTAAAGATCTGATCATTAAAAGTGAAACAAAAATTTGCCTTAGTAAATAAACACATCAAACTATTTAAAAAGCACTTGTAGCAAGAGCAATAAACTGTTACCTCTTCCTTAACTGCAACAATGTAGTTCATTTCACTTTATGGTCAGAATTATGAAATTAAAGAAAAAAGATTGTTTTTGTTTTAGTTTTACATTAGGTAACGATAAAACTAAAAGGCTTAAAGACTAGAATTAGTTTCTTTGGAGATTTTAAGTGCTCAAGACATAGTCAAGATTAACATCACTTGTGAATTAAGCAGATATATTTCCTTGGAAATAGTACATGTAAATGAAGTAAAGGACTAATTTTTAAAAAAAAAACTAAAAAATGAAATGCAAAAGAAAAATCGGACAATGAAACAATAGGTGAGAATTAATATTTGCATTTTATAAGAACTGAATTTATTTTATTAATGTTCAAACTGATGTACTCTTAACAGTCTCCCAGGAAATATCTATCCCTAAATTTGGGGATGCAGGAATAATGAAATGAAAGAGCAATAAGAGGTGCCAGGAACCCCTACCGATTTCTCAGGGTCTTGTACTCCAGAAGCTGCAACTCTGAGTTCTAAATCTTTTTCTCTAAACAAAATTAAAGTTTTATATATTAAAAAGTTATAGCAAACACTGTCAAAATTATTACCATCATTGAAACATACTTGGACACAAAATCTATATAACACATCTCCAAATAGAAATAATTTCTTTAAGAGAAAATAAAACCTTAAATAATTTACCAAAACTCAAATCTTCTGACTTGATACAGATTAAACTAGAATTTATATGTAACTGACATAAAGTAAGTATCTTAAAACCAGCCTATGAATATTCAAGTACAAAGTAATCCACACAAAATAAAACCCAAAAATAAAGACAGACATCTGTCTATGAGACAGACATCTCATGGTATATTTTCAGTTTATATAAAGGATAAAAATTTAAACAAAACTATCTTGCTTTCTAGTAAGAATTTTAGGGCCGAGGTAGCTCAGAGGCACAGTGCCTGCTTTGCAAAAACAAGGTCCTGAGTTTGATTCCTGGTACAAAAAAAAAAAAAAAAAAGAATTTTAAAGAAAATGATGTTAAAAGATGGCTAATGGCAGAGGGTGGATATTAGCTTCCTCCTAGATCTCAAATTCTCTAAAATTGAGACTTCCACTCCTAATTTTAAACTATAGCCAGTATTTTGCAGATATTTCTACACAAAAGTTAATAAACACTGAGACTCGTATACGACATTAATGCTGTGATTTACCATATGATTATTTTACACTGTATTTATGTGTGTATGCTTGAGATTTTAAAAGCATAAAATAGTTTGTTACTATATAAGGGATAATACAATAGGCACATAGATACCATGGCTTTAAACAAAAAAACTGAGCAAGTTAACAAAAGAAGTAACAAGCCTATTGCATAATACCTACATAGTTTGTTACCTCTGATAAAATTAACATTGTCATAGCATTTATTTTCCTTGCTGAATTACAATGTACTGATGATATATGTGATTCATAAAACAAAAATTATGTTAAAAAAGAGTCCCTTCTTTTACAGTCATGACATTTTACATAAGTACATTTTAAATTCAAAACACCTATATTAAATGCAAACCTTTCATTACCGTCTCTTATTTTTCTGTTGTTCAGCCATTTGTTCCAATAGTTCTAGTCTATATTTCTCTTTCCTTCTCTGAGTAAGTTCTCGATCTTCGCCTCCTGGAGATTAAGAAAACAATAAAATAAGTCTTAAGTGTCATAAAACCAAAACTTAAAAAGTTATTTTCTAATTAAGTCAAAGAATACTGAGTATAGAAGGAGTATCACATGCATCGGTACTTCAATTAATTTCTTAATTTAAAGTCTATACCATGTGTCAAACACAAGATACATTAATACCTCCCAATCCTCCACTTTTAGTCAAAACGTTCTAATCTCTGTCCTTATTCTGCCAATAATCTGATTAGCACCTCTACTTAATATTTTCATAAGCCCCTTAAATTTAACAAGTTCCACTCAAAACCTTCTAAACCAACTGTCCCTCTTAGTTTTCTGCTAGTAGCCCCAATAATGGAGGTACAGTATCTCATAACTTTGAGGTTCACCCTCTCTTCCTCAATTACAGTGAGGCTCCCTTCCTTTTTATTCTAAACACCATTAATCTTGGTTAGTTCCTCTCTGTACTTCACCTAAACTGTAGCAATAACCTCCTAACTTCACTTCCCAGTTACCTTCTCCCTACTCAGTACATCAAATACATTTAAGGAAGATTAACCATTTTAAAATGCAACACTAATCATACTAGCAGTAAAAAACTTGGTTACTTTAATCCTACCAGGAAAAAAACCTCTCACCTTGATATCACTTATGTAAAAGTTGATTAAAACTTTTGGATCCAGAGAAGATCATTATTGTATAAACTAGGGGCAAAAAATAAATTCTCAATCTAGATACACATGATTGGAATGCCACATAAGTCACAGAATTTCAAAATCAGAAATTTGTCTACAGCCTTAATTACTGGTCTCCCAACCATACTGGGTTGAGTTTGCCCATTAAGCACAGATGTCAGGAACTGTGAAGTTCCCAGAGGAGTGCCATGACTGAAATTAAGGTTAGTAACAGTATTTTAAAGTCAAAGTAGGCTTCCATTCCACTTCCAATCATGACAGGTTAACAACCAAAAGATTTAACCTCCCACTGTGAATAACTAGAAAATTAGGAAAAACATACAAAAACTTATTGGACATTTGGCAATAAGCAGCACAGCACTGTATCACTTGATAGAAACAAAATAAAGTGAATCCTACAATCATTCTAGTTTTTGCCAAATGTAATTTTGAGACCACATGCACAGGGAAAGAAAATTGAACTCAAGTGAATAAAGAACACTGAGCTAAAGTGAATGAAGAACTGGGGGAGGGCATATGGCTCAGTGGTAGAGCAAAGGCTTAGCATGTGCGAGTCCCTAGGTTTGATTTCCAGCATCACAGGAAAATGGATGTCTCACATAAGAGAAACCATGTGACATTTAAGCTTGTGTTTCTGCTTTATTTCACTTAACATTGTGATTTCAAGGTACATCTATTTCCCTACAAATGACTCAAATTTATCTTTCTTTAGAGTAGAGTAATACTTCACTCTGTGTAAACACCACATTATTCACTCATCTGCTGATGGACACACAGGCTGCTCCCAAGATTTAGATATTATGAACTATGCTGCTTATGTATAAACATGGGTATGCACATATCATTATAATGTGATGTCTTTAACTCTTTCAGGAAGATACCTAGAAGGGGATGAGACGGTCAAATACACCCATCTAGTTTCAGTTTTTTAAGGAATTTCCCCACTGATTTCCATAGTGGTTATATAGTTTACATTTCCACCAACAGTGTGGAAGGGTTCCTTTTCCCCGCAGTCTTTTCAGCATTTGTTATTTGATTTCTTGATGATGGTCACTCTTTCAGGAGCAAGGTGAAACACCAGTGTTGTTATAATCTGCATTTCTCTAAAAGATACCTTCATTTCACGTGTCCATACTGCGAATGAGTCTTTTGGCAAGTGTCTAATTTTTTAGACTTCTTTATAAATTCTAGGTAATAGTCCTCTGAGTAATGGCTGGCAAAATATTTTTCCAATTTTGTAAGTTGTCTTTTTACTGTTGGTTGTTTCTTTCACTATGAAGAGATTTTTTTATTTGACCCTATTTATTGATTCTCAGAACTATTTCCTCTGTAGCCAGGGTTCTTCTGTTCAAAGTCTTTAACAATGCCTTTGACTTCAAGCATCTGACCTATATTATCTGTCAGCAGGTTAAGTGGTTCTGTTTTAACATTTAGTTTTTTAATCCATTTTTGTTTTAGTTTAGTAGATCGTGTGAGATATAGTTCCAATTTCAATCTTCTGCGTGTGGACAGTCAGTTTTCCAAACACCACTGGTTAAAGAGGCTATCTTCACTCCAGTGTGTTTTTTGGCCCCTTTGTCAAAGATCATAGTTGAAAATGCTTGGCATTGTTTCTGTGTGCTCTGTTCTGTTCTGCTAATCCTTATGTCTGTTTTTGTGCCAGTATCATGTTGTTTTTATCAAATTTGCTTAGCAATTTAACTTCAGGTTCAGGATTATGATGCCTCCCAGTTTGATCTTTTTACCCAATGGTGCTTTTGCTATTCTGCTTCTCTTCGGGCTTCACATGAAATTTAGAACTGCTTTCTCCAATTAGGTTTTTTAAAAAATGAAATTTTGATCGGGAATGCATCAAATATCAGTTTGGAAGTATGGTCATTTTGACTACATTGGTTCTAACCATCCAGGAACAGGGGAATGTAACTTTGTGGCAAATACACTCATTTAATAAACATTATGCATATTTGGACATGAACGTAGAAGATGAAGAAGAAGAATAGCGGGGCTGTGGATTTAGCTCAGCGGCATAAGCGCCTGCCTTGGAAGCAGGCAGTTGTGAGTTCAAACCCCGGTACCAGTAAAAAAAAAAAAAAAAAAAAAAGGAAGACAAAAAAAAAAAGAAGAAGAAGAATAGCAGCCAATAATGGAAACATGATAAAACATAAGCGTACAGAATTGAGAAGCCAGGTTTGGTGGCACATGCCTATAATCCCAGCACTTGGGAGGCTGAGGCAGGAGGATCACTGCAAGTTCAAGGCCAGCCTGGACTACATAGTGAGTTCAGTCCAACCTGAAGTACATTGCGAGATTCTGTCTCAAAAGAAAAAAAAAAAAAAAAAACTGAGAAATGTACAACTTTTAATAAGAGATATTAATTTCAGTGATTTCTCTGTTGTATAAATTATTTGAAGCAAATGGTATACTTGAAATAATAGAAGAAACAAACATGCATGCCATACATAGTTTTGTGTGTGTGTGTGTGTGTGTGTCTTTTTGAGACAGGGTCTTATTATGCAGTCCAGGCTGGTCTTGAGCTCACTTTGTAGCCCAGGCTTGTCTCGAACTCGTGACAATCTTCCTGTCTCAGCCTACCAAGTGCTAGGATTACAGGCATGCACCACTACACCCAGCTACAATGGGGTTTTAGTTAAAAAAAAAAAAAAAGAAAACATCTCAGCAATGTTGGGAATCTGTCACAATTAATGAGATGAAAAATTTTATAGGTATATTACTAATTATGAAGGTAGTACCATTACTAGAAGTAGATTATATGAGTCTGAAAATAACATGTATGCCAGCGGACATATAAAGAATGCCATGCAAGAAGATTACTTTTTGAATTGTTTACATTTCTCTGACAACATCATATCTAGAACCCAGAATCTCCTAAGTTTTTAAAAATCATGGAAGAAATTATTAGTACATACAAGGATGCAATAAAGCCTGGAAAAATGTAACAGTGTATGAAATTATGAAACTATAGAGAGGATATTTGCATTTTTGCTAACATATCAAAGGAAAATGGCACAAATACAGGAAAAAACTACATAAAATACTTGCCCAGTAGTTACACCTATGAATATGTCTATACTAGAAAAAGTGCAAACCCTTTGATGAATGAGCATTCTGACAATGTTGTTTTAAAATTAATTAATGGCTTATCATTTGAATACCACACATTATATGCATATAGTTATTATTCTAATATATCCCCAGTATAAGAATTTATAAGGAAAGAAACATTTGGCACTCTACAGCCAAATGGAAACTTTTTATCAGTACATGCAAAGACAAAGCAAAGTAGGGAACAAAATCATAAACTTTGAAAATTGTTAGGCTGTGTGTGGTTGTGCACTGTTGTAGACCAGTATGAAGCAGCTCTGAGCAGGATTTTAAAATTAACTAATTGGCTTCCTATATTTATCTCTGAGTCCGTCCTAGGTCTAGGCCCCTTGTCTGCTGATGGGAGCTGATTTGATCACTGGTCCTGGCTAAGGCCTGTAGTAGCCTGTGAGGCCAAAGATACCTCAAAGGGCACAATAAGGCCACAGCTGTGGACACTTGGCTCAAACATCAATTAAGCAGATAGAGACTGCAGCTGCAGGAATTACACCTACTGTTTCACTTCTACCATGTCTTCATGATAAGACAGTTACACTGTCTTATTGACATGATTCATTACTTGGAGACATCCTTGAAGTGACTCCCAAGGACCTGCTCACTGCCTGTGCTTTCCTCAGTTTCCACACCCTTTGTTGTTAGACCTAATAAAAATGGGCAGTCCAGGGAAGTCCCTGTATTAGCCTTCAGAGTCTCGAGCTTAACTGAAAGGTTGTTGACCCTCCTAGAGCCCTAAAATCATACACCATTTGTCTCACTTTGTGTAAGCTTTAGCCATACACTCATTTAGGAGATTGGGGATCTAGGTCAGGACCTGATAGTGCACTGCTATAATCCCAGCACTAGGAAGGCTGAGGCAAGAAGATTGTTTCAAGTTCAAGACCAGCTTGGTCTACAAAGGGAGCCAAAGGTCAGCCTGAACTGCATAGCAAGACCCTGTCTCAAAAAGATAAATTGTTCTGGTATAAAGTTTGCCAAATGGACTGATAAAAGAACTCTTTGTATGTTAACAATTTATAAAGATCATACATGTGCATTAATTAGAGGAAAATCTGATATCTTTGATTACAACAATGCAAAGAAAGTGCATCCCTAAGCTATTTAGCGTTAATATTATACAGACCTATACAGTCCATATTAAATGTTCAGCATGGCACCTTTCATACTGTAAGCACTGATAAATATTTTCTACAATTAGTAAAAGTAGTACTATAACAGAATTTTCATTAAAGATCTTTCATAGAATACTGCAAAAGTATAATCATATGGAAATTCTTTACATACCAAAAAGCATCCCTGCAAAAGGACTACAGATTTCTCTATTAGATTTGGATGGTTCATTGTCTTGAGCACTAAAAAAAAGAGAATATTGATTAATATCTAGACAATTTTCAGGAAGCAAAAGAGTAAAAGTAATATGGGTTACTGCCTTTCACAGTACTACAGACAATACAAAATGCACATATTTTTTAAAATTTTATTAGTGCACGTGTATAGTACATATTTACATTCTTTATGGGAAGTTGGTACATGTATGGAACACATCTTAATTCCTTTTTTCATCTCCGTTCCCTTCCTTCCCTCTCCTGCCTACCCATCTTTTTGATCCCCTTGCATTTGTATCTATCTAAATATATTTAGGTATTATATATGTGTGTGTATATACATATATATAATCATGGCTTTTTTTTCTTTACAGAGCAAAATATCAATGTATTCAGGCTCTATAAAAAGATAACCTTTTAGCTGGGTGTGGTGGCATATGCCTGTAATTCTAGTCCTTGGAGGCTAAGGCAGGAGGACTACAAATTTAAGGACAGCCTGGGGTACACTGAGAGTTCCAGGTCAATCTGACCTTAGAACGACACTATAAATAAAATGTTTCTTTAACCTACTTCACTGGTTCTATAGATTAAAAAAAAATCTTTTTCATAAGAATGGGTATCTAGTAACAAAAATGGATAAATACCTATAATCCTAAAAGAGAAACTATAAACATTGCACATACTTAGAAAAGATCATTTCTTTAAAAATAAAAATAAAAAATAAAAAACCTTCCTTGAAGACAGAAATAAGGGGAAAATAATAATTCCCTCAATGAAAATGTAATTGTGTTTAAAAACACAATAAACTGTTTTTGCAAGTATTCTTTTATGTAGTACATTCCTTTAGACAACTTCAATACATGACAAAAATCAAAAATAACTTTATTGTACTATACATTAGAATGATCTAGCCTTATATATGACACAAGCATCAAAATTAAAAAGTTATGAAGTTATTTCCTATCTTCCCAAAGACAGAAACATATATGAGCACTAACTTCTAAAGGAAACATAAAAAATTATCTATTCAATAAACTTAAAATCAAGTTTTACAAGAAAAATTCACACTGCAGGAATATTTTCAGCTTATTTTCAGTCAAAGTGCATGACTATGATTCCCAAGATATTTTAAACAGATATGCTCTCTATTAAAATAGAAGTCTATCTCCATTTCTAACAAATTTATATACTTTATGATAGAGACCTACTCAGAACATGTTGCACAGACTTTATAACCAAAAACTTAGTTCTTCAAAATAATGCTGTAAAGTACTATAAATTCACATTTACTGCCTCTTTGCCACTTTCTTTTTCACTTTAATTCTTTTCTCATTAGGTAGGAAGGCTATCAAAATGCTAACCTTTCTACGTTTTCAAGGAGCCAGTTTCACGTAGGTGCTGTTTCAGTGTAGTGACTGAAGGGCAGAATTTATATCACATACTATACCTTTCATTTCCAGCAAATGAAATTCGTGTGTTTGACTGTTCTCTGATATCACCATCATTCTCCATAGAAGGCACATCCCCTGGTCTTTTCCTACGCATTATCTTACAGAGCATATTCCACTTACAGTGGACCTTCTCATTTTAACATTTGATGTTGGAAACGTTAAAGGGGAACAGAGTGTTATAATGAAGTTGTACTGTAAATATATTATAAAATTAATACAAATGAGATTTGTTTCAAGTATGATCTGCTAGTTAAAAACAGACACTAACAGTTTAGGTTTGGCTTGGCTTGGGCTTGACTTGGGGTCAAGGGGATGAGGTGGGATTAGGGTGGGCTTGATTTGCAGGCCTGGGGAATTGCATACACTAGGAAGGACCTACACACCCTGCCCCTATTAGTACGTTTTAAAAGCAGATTATCATAAATTATTTCAGTATAATTTCTGAAAAATTTTTATTTCAAATTACAGACTTGGAACATTTTTAAAGTTAAAGCAAGTTAAGGTAGACTTTTTATTATTCACTTAAAAAGTGAATAACTGAGCAATTCCTGCATGCTAAGTACTACTCTGGGCACTGTATATTCACAGTCATTGTACTTCTGAAGACAACAGTCAAAACTCAAAATGGGACTTTTTAAAGTTAAAATTCATAAATTTGGGGAAATATTTAACTGTATATACAAATAGTGTAGCAATCATACCAATACATTAAAAATAGAAAACCACAACATTTATGAACACATATATAACATGAAAGAACAAATGTTAACAAAAGCTGAATAGAGAACATGAACAAACAGGTCAATTTGTGGAGTCAGATATGATCAGTTCTCTTTACTTTCAAGTACACAAATGAAAAGAGTATTTTTTTTAATTTCTTCTTTAAAAATCTTTTTAGGAAACAATAATGGAACAATTTTTTTTTTTTTCTTTTTGATACAGGGGCTCTCTATGCACTTCAGGCTGGCCTTGAGCTCACTATGTAGCCTAGGCTGGTCTTGAACTCACAATGATCCTCCTGCCTCAGCCTCCCGAGTGCTGGGATTACAGGCATGAGCCACTATGCCCAGCTGTGAAACAATTTTTAAATTAACATCATCTTTTTCCATTTGGCAAACACTGATTTTTTCATTTAATTTCTCATACCTCAAAAATGAATATAACTTTCCTTATACCAATACATGTCCAAGAAAACCAGCATTTTATAAGTCTTATTTTCTGTTTTTGTGGTGTTTTTGTTTTTGTTTCTTATCGGTACCAGGGATCGAACTCATGACCACAGTTGCAAGGCAGGCACTATGCCGCTGAGCTAAATCCCCAGCCCCAAGTCTTATTTTCTTATGAGGCTGTTTAGTTAACAACTAGAGTGCCTTACTTAAGAGAATAGAAATATGCTTGTTAAACTACTGTTATAGTTTAGTCTAAATGTTTCCCCAAAGCCTCATACACTCACTTTCGGAGTGGGGCTTTCGGGAGATGACTAAAACATGAGTATGTGAAACTCATCACTGGATGAGTTCACTGATGGGCTTACAGCTTGGTGGGACATGGAGAGGTGAAGCCTGGCAGAAATAGGTGGGTTACTAGGTGCAGGGCCCAAAAGGGTATATATCCTTTCATCCTTGCTGTTTCTGGCCTACCTTGGAGCCATCAACTGTGGGCTGAAAACTATAAACTGAGCCAAAATAAACTTTTCCTTCTTAAAGAGTTGTAGGTGTCAAGTCCTGTGTCTCAGCATCAAGAAAGTAACTAAGACAGCTACTCACTGACATTTTTAGATGACTTTCCCTATCAAATTACTAAAACTGAAATTTAATTTTAATAGAAAAGGAACTTTTCATTCTGATAGAACTAGTATATAACATTTTCTTTACTTGTTTCCATCACACTACTATCAAAATCATCTGTGGAGAAAAAAACTATTTGGATTTTAACATGAATAATTTAATATTTGGGGATAATATTCAAATGGCTTCCACATCTAAAACAGAGCTCTCAATGGGCCATTTTAAAAAGAACTTTGAATTTACTTCAATTTACCAAAAGAATATCTGATTTCACGTAAAGTCCAGTTACTGTCTTTTAAACTGAACCATCAGTTTTAGGGCCATTTCCTATGTCCACATCTGAAAGCACAGGTAAATGTAAACTCAAACTTATAAATGTCAATGGCAGGCAACCAAGATTAGTTATACTGAATCTATAAGATTTACCAGAGCAGGCAGAGCTTTTCTATCATTAGACAAACCTCCTTGTACAGACAGCCATGGCTAGTAGTTAGGAACAAAGATTTTAGAAGAGCTCCCATCATTCCGATAACTAGTATGAGTGGCTCACTATTGCTAAGCTATTGGTCCAAATAATACAGTCCATGTTAAAATGCCTTAAGGGAATCTGGAACTTTAGTAAATGACCAGCCCAAACCTTGGACACTGAATCTAAATGAGCAAACATTTCCTCATGTGGTCAATAATTCAATAGTAAAAGTTAAGCATCTCCTGTGTGACTTCTCTGGGAGAAGATCTGAAAAGCTTGTGTTTCCTTTCCTTCTGATTTTGTCCCAGGCACCTTTTTCCTTTGCTGATTTGGCTTTCTATCTTTCTGATGCAATACATCAGCCATGACTACAACTATACACATAGCCATGATTAAAATTATACACAAATCCTAAAAGTCATCCCAGAGAATCATCAAACCTAGGAGTGATCTTGGGAATCCATGACCCAACACAAAAAAGTAAACACACTTATGTGACAAAGAGGTAGCCATATCAATGAAAATTTAAAGCACAGTAATTTAAAGTTATAAAGTTTTTAAAGCATAACTTGGAATTCTAGAAATAAAGGCCATTTATTAGACATACAAAACATGTTTATAAAATTTACCAAAAAAAATGTTACCAAAGAGCTTATGGCTTCCTACATTTTCAATTAAGTTGTCTAAAGACAATATTTGGATTTACAATTCTAGCTTATCTTTGTGACAGCTATCCAAAAGCATACACATTCTAAATGTGTACCAGCATATAAAAATAATGCTCTTCAGCATATAGATAAGAAAGCAAGCACTAAATGCCCAAGAAGTCATTTTCAAAGTTCATTCTAAATTTAAGAAATATAACACATTATTTTACTTGTGTATAAAAGCAAGGTCTCAGCTAAACTCTATAGTAAAACCACAAAGATTTCCCAATAAAGAGTCCATATAAAAGACATTCTAACTTATACTATTTACCAAAGAAAAAGAGTCATTAACAAGATTATAAAATCCACCTGTCACAGATAATGATAACAAAATCAACATACAAGAAATATTTAGTCAAGAAAAATAATAGAAACCAGGTGTGGTGGCACACACCCATAATCCTAGCACTTAGTAGGCTGAGGCAGGAGGATCACTGCGAATTTGAGGCCATCTCAGGCTGCAAAATGAGTTCAAGGCCAGCCAGAAGTACATAATGAAACTCTGTCTCAAAAAGACCAAAAAAAAAAAAAAATCCCCAGATATTTGCATTTCATTAAAATGCCAAGTGGGCATGATGGCCCACACCTGTCATCCATCATTAAGGAAGCTGTGGCAGGAAGATTGCCTCAAGTTTGAGGTCAGCCTGGGCTACAGTCAGTTCACAATCAACTTACACTGCAAGACCCTGGGTCAAAAACATAAAAAATATAAAAAATAAAAATAAAAATATCATTAATACTGTTGCCCTCAGAGCCTATAAATCTACTGGTTTTATTTAACAAATCATGAAATGTTAAGGCTTTATGAAGCTCCTTTTGAGCTATGAAACAACTAATTATTGTGTTTATCTTTGTTAAGAACTACTATTAACAAATAGATTCCATACATATTTTTAAAGTTATTAATGTAAAACATTAAAAAAGGAAGAGAAAGTTAAAAACCAATTATAGTTTGTACAGAAATCTTATTCTCTACTAAAAATGTCATTATAATTTTATAGAATTTCCTCCATTTACTAAATGTCCTTTCAATAAAGTAGCATTCCCCAAGCTTCCATCTAATAAATTTAGCATTTAATCGTTCTTACCTAGCCTTTAGGTTCACACTAACAACCTTTCCAACCATTGTAAGATTACTCCTTAATAATTTACAGGACTAATGTATTCACTAAGTGTCTAAGAACAATATGACCCCAATCAAAGTCCAGAGACCCAGTATAGGTCCAGTTTGTTCCTGGGAAGTCCTTTCTGTTTAGTTATTAAGAACTTAAGAGCTAGAACATCAAATTAAAACAATTCTTATGACCCAAAAACAAATTTTATATATATATATAATGACTTTAAATACACAGTAGTAACCGCCCCAAACCATTGGGTTTTGGCAAAAAAAGCAGACTTCATAAAAACTTTTTTTCCTTTGAATACAAATTAGATTACAACTGAGGGAATAAAATAGCTACAGAATGATTTCCCTTTTTCTCCTTTACTGTTTTTTTTAAAAAATAGCAGTATTTAGTTAACACTCTCAGAACCCAGGTACTAACTCAAAAAACTATTTACCTTAAAAGTTAATGCATCAATTTTGTTTAAAATTTCTTCAAAAATATAGCAAGTAAACTGGGTCTGGTGCTGAAGGAATGTCTATAATCCCAGCACTGTGGAGGCTGAGGTCATGAGTTGAGAAGCCAGCCTCAGCTGTATAGTGGATTCAGGGATAGCCTCAAATACATAGTGAGACTCTGTCTCAAAAACTCAAGAAAGAAAAAAGAAAACAAAAGTAAAGCTTTCATCCATTTAATTTAAATAGGAATAAAACAATTTCTAAATGACACTGAATCTTTTCCTTTTTTCCTTAATAAGTCATCCTGCTTCAGAAGTAAATTTATAACATTTACAATATCAATAATAGAACATTATAAAAATAAAATTTTACCATATGTTAGTCCTATATTGATATAGCACATTGGAAGGAAGAGTCCAATTTCTCCTTACTTAAAAGAAACCATCTAATTGATAAAACAGTAGCTGTATCACTTTGCCCTCATATCAAAAATTTCTCTCTTCTAAATGAATTCTGCTATTAAGGGTACTACTGTTATAAAAGTTAAAGAAAAACTCTGAAATGTTTTTCTAATTCTGAAATGTTTTCTTTACTTTTAGTTCTAGAACTGAAATTTTAACACCAGTGTTTTCTATTTTCAACTCAAGTAACTTTAAAGTGAGGAGGAGCCAGGGATATAGCTCAGCGGCACAGCACCTGCCTGGCAAGCACGAGGTCTTAAGTTCAAATCCCAGTACCATAAAAAAATTTTTAAAAATAAAGTGAGGAAAACAATTTTTAAAATGGCCTATCCAAAGATAAATGAAAACTATTAAAAGAACAAAAAGTAACACCAAGTTAGGTAACTTAAATTCTAGTAAGATATTTCTCTCTACTTATATCTTTTACATTAAGCTTAGGAGTGTCTTACACTTAAGTAAACACTACATCTATGTGACTAACAGAGATTTCCAACTTCAGAAAGATTACTATTTCAGATTTGTATTAAATGACTACTAATTATAAACAGCAAATACCAATATTTAAGTAAATTGGAAGTCCTAAGCACATTAATCATATAGAAAAAACTCCAGCATTTTCATGCTAAAAACTTTTTACTTAACATTACATGTTATAATAAAATATAAGGCTAACATAAATTTCTGAAGCTCACATTAATAAACAATAGGATGACTGCTTAAAAACAAGACTAAATTTCAAAGGATCACAAGGCATACTACTACATTCAAAGGTTCCTAAAACAGGGGCTGGGGATTTAGCTCAGTGGCATAAGCACCTGCCTTGCAAGCAGGTGGTCGTGAGTTCAAGCCCGGTACTAATTAAAAAAAAAAAAAATTCCTAAAACATTGTAAATTTTACTCAACTTACTAGCATATAAAAACAAAGTGCTAAGCACCTTGTTAATTATGTAAAAATATTGCCAGCAATTCATGATATGAGTTTAAAAAATATTTCTTGAGGAAAACTTTCACTTTCCCATCTTCAAATAAATATACTGTTGTACATTAAAAAGTTTACAATGTAATTAGAAGTCAATGTAAAATAAAGCATAGAATTTATCAGAGACTGACTTAGGAAGGAGGGGGAACAGAGAAAAAGAAAAACAAAGAAAATTAATTTTGTAATTATGTCCAGAGTTTTAGTTTTAGTAGTAGTAAAAATGAATATGACAACAAAATAAGATCTCTTTGTAGTGGTTAATTATAAATATTATCACCAATATAATCATTCAAAGGAAATTAAAAGCATCTGAAAATCCAATAAAAATGTAATGTTATTTCACTTAAGACAAATGTTCAATCAGTAACTTGAAAATGTTTATATTGATAATTAGAATATATAGCCATTAAAGGAATAAACTATTTTCAGTTAAAAAAAACTATTGGACTGATTTTAAACTGCCCCCTTTTCCCCTATATTTTAACATCTAAATAGGGATGTCCATCAACCTGGTTTTAAGTCATGTAACTGCACAGAAGAGTTCTTTTTCCCTTGCCAATGACTTGAGACACTCAATTGACACTGATTCTTGTAGGGGTATTTTGGGCACTACTGGCAGCATGAATTCAGACCATGAACCTGTGCACTGGTTTACACTGTAAATTTCCGGGGAAGACTTTAGTTTTTTTACTCTCTTTTCAGTGCCAAGCTTAAGATATTGAAATTTCCTGTTTTGACCGGTTTGCAGTGCTAGAGAATCAACCCAGAACTTCGTATTGAACTATATCCCCAGTCTTTATTTTTAATTTTGGGATAGGATCTTACTAAGTCACTAAGTTGCCCAGGCTGTGCTCAAACTTCCAATCTTCCTGCCTCACCATGCCTAGCTTCAATTTAAATTTCTGTCCCTTTCTGTGGGAAAGTTTATTTCCATTTATTTTCATGTGAAAGGTACAGCTTCCAGGTTTTCAGCTTTATAATAGAGTCCTCATCTTGAGTGTTCATTTTTTTGCCCCTAGTGGCCCATAAAATAACAGTGCTTTATAAAACTGATAGTCTCTTAGAACTATATGATAAATCAAATACAACTGCCCTACCTAATATATTGATAAAGACTAACACAATATTAATAAGAAAATAAAAATCAAAGTGGTAGATACCTGTCATTTTTATATACTCTCAAAAGTCTTCTATCAAAATCACTTTCATATCTAAACCTTTCATCCATTTCTTCACTTACTTCACGATCTTTGTCTGGTTTACAATACTGTCTATCAAAAACAGGATCTTCATCAAATCTGTAAAATCTTCTTTCTGAAACACCAGCCTTGCTGGCAAACCTTTGATGTTTTGTATTGGAAATACCCACTTCCTCATTGGTTTTTTTAGTGATTCTTTTATTCCTTAATTCAATTTCATCATCCAGCTGTCGGTATCTGTCCTCTTCTAGTCGCCTTCGGTTTAGAAGCTCTTCATAGGTCTCTGAAGGAGTTAAGACATACCTCCTGGGATCTTCTGAATTTGTGCAAGATGTTTGTATTTGTGGAGGTAAATCAGATTTAACTTGACTAACAGGATGCTTATTTCTTTGACTCTTGGGCTGTTCAATTAAAAAATAAAAGAGAAAAAAATCGATGAGATACTATTTCTTAAAATATAAGTAAAGCCTTAGAACTCTCATCTTTGACATTTAAGCGCCTATAAGAAATATTTATTCTTCAGAAAAAAAATGCAAGCAAAAATTACCTTGCAATAAAACATCAAATATTAATAAACACACAACACGAAAATGAATAAGTGTCTATAAAACTAGAAAACAAGCAGCCAGGTGTGGTTGTGCATAGCTGTAATCCCAGCACTCGAGAGTGTAAGGCAAGAAAATTGTTGCAAGTTCAAGACCAGCCTGAGCTACAAAGTGAGCTCAGGCTGAACTGCAGTTTGAACTGCATAGCAAGATTCTGTCTCAAAAAGATCAAAAAAAAAAAAAAGACAAATCCAAATTCCTATCCCAGGAGATACTAGACATATCTTTGCAGTTAAATATTACTTCAAAATATTTCAAGATAAATTCTTCCTCAACATAAAGAGCATAGACAGTGATAATGTTTTGGCTCTGATAACACAAACCATCCTAAAATTTGAGAAACAGATAGAAATTGTCAACATAAAAAATCACTTAAAGCTAAAAACAAAATTTATTTCATAAAACTGACCTCTAAAATTGAATTTCTTCAGTGAAACTGCATTTTTAAAAATAAGGTAAGTTCTTCAGCATTAGATAAAAAAATTTCCAAAATAAAATTGAATGTCCTGTGCTTGGTTTAATTTTTTAAATTTTTACACATGAAATCCAAGTAATTTATCCAAAATAGGAAAAGCTTTTCAAAATAGTGTGAAATATTCAGCCTATGATATTAAAACATTAAAACCAAAACTTACCTCAGTGCTCTTTTCTACCTGTTTGAACTTTTCACTGGATTCTTCCTTACCCCTGAGAAACTGATTATATTCTTTGTTTCGTTCAAGTTTCAACCTTTCCTTAAAACAAAAACCAAAAAGCAACCTTAATTCCAACTTCAGGAAAAATTATTTTAATACTGAATCAGAATTATACAAATCAAATTTCTTACCCAGAATCAAGGCTTACTAAAAATTTCAAGGCTATAAATCATTCAAGGAACAGGAACAAAAGGAAAAGGTCTGACCATCATTCTAGCTCCTCAAATCTCTCTGTCACATGAGAACATGTTATGTTTTGGCCCATTAACACATGAGATCTCTATTACAAAACATTTCCCTTTTTTATAGTGATTACAGAAATTAGATGACATTTTGCAAAGAACCATTCTCCATAAATCAACAAATTCCAGATTTCTTCACCAAAAGCAATCCTAAACAGATACATCCTGCCCATTAGCATTCAGAGATGTATCTCTTCTATTAGTAAATATAACTGTTTGTAAGAAAGTCTATCCTTAGCACATTTCCAAAAACATGATAGTTAACATTCTTTCTCAAGGACAACTCCTCTTTCCCTCCCGATTCTCCAACCCAGCTCCAAAACACCTGCTGCCCAGATTTCCTTCCAACGATTAATTGACTCACTATATTTTAAATATAAAAAGGTAAAAGTACAAAAACACTAAAATATCATAATATAAATGATCTATTAATACACAAATATTACCTTAGGAAATATTCTTAATTTCTTAATACTGTTGATGTCACTGAAACAAAGTAATCTAAAGAGTATTAATGAAATAAGGACTATTTTTTTAAAACTTACTATCCTTTTTGTTTTATGTACTAATCTACCTTGGAAATTGAGTCTACCCAAGGGGTAGATAGTGTTTTATTGCCATCACCTCTAAGAAATATGAGAAGCATACATTCAAAGAACCCCAACCCTTACCCTCATAAAAGCTCACTATACTCTCACATCTATGGTTCATTTGATAACTGTGTCTATAGCATAAACTTTACAGTTCAGAAACCATTGCTAAAAAAATAAATTCCAAATATTCAATTTGAGTATAAGCATATAACAAAAGAATCCACATATCAAAGAAATATATCATCACATGATTATATGTTTAAAAAACTTCTAAACAGTACAACTAGAGACTTCATCGATTTTGTAAAAAATAAACATACTCTACTATGGGAAAATAATGTAACCTGTTTGCATTTAAACAGAAATAGAATTTTGATGTCTCAGAAAACTTACTACCCACCTACCTTGGCAGATAACCTCTCACCAATAGGAAGTGAAACTCCCAGAGTAGATGGATCTGTTTCCCCCGTGGATAGAAAATTTTTCTGTATATATACACACATTAAAAAAAATATATTACCTAACTGCATTTTAAAATGTTCTATTAGTATGTCTTTATATTTAATTTTAAACTATTAACGTATACAGAGCAAAAGAATAAAATGAAAATGAAGACGGAAACCGTAAATCTATAGACTCCACACCAAAAGTTATTAGAAAAAAAGAAAATTCTTTTCCGAATAACCACCTCCTCCTAAAGGGACGCTCAGTCTTTCAAATCTGAGATATAAATACTGGATTCAAGATGATTCAAGTAAGTATAATAAAAGGGAAGCTTCTCCAAATTATATTCCTCTTCTAAGCACATATTTTTCATTCTCTTTGTTCCTAAGGCAAAATTTAAACTTCCTCACAAATACCCTTTTGGATTGCTACAAGTTTTGGCTACTGTTATGGCTTGTATCTAGCTGTCCCCACAAAGCTTCATGCACTTACAGGTGGGCCTTTCAGAGGTAGCTGGATCAAGAGTATATGAATATGTATTAAGATTGTGATAGGTAAGTTCGTAAATTGACTGGTTTAGCATAGCTCTAGATACAGATAATAGATTGGTGCAAGCACGGTAGAAATCAGTGTGGAGACTGCTCAAAAAAACCAAAACTAGAGGTTCCATTTGACCCAGCTATTCCTCTTCTTGGTATCTTTCCAAAAGAATTAAAACATCGTACAACAATATATGCACACCCATGTTTATAGCAGCACAATTTGTAATAGCTAGATCTTGGAAACAACCTAAATGCCCATCAATAGGTGAATGGATAAAGAAGATACGGTTTTATCATACAATGAAGTACTGCTCTGCCATAAAGAAGGATAAAGTTGAGACCTTTCTAGGTAAACATATGCACCTTGAGACCATACTCTTAAGTGAAATGAATCAGACAGACATGTTTAAATATTGCATTCTGGTTTGACAAACCTAAAGGGCAAATAATGATCAAAATATATAATAGATATTGGGAAATAGAAAATGTTCAAATGGTAAGCAGAACAAGGGAGGGAGGAGGAAGGAAGGAGGAAAGGAAGGAAGGGGGAAGAAAAAAATGGAGGAAGAAATGGAAACAAAGCCTTTATAAATATGGGGGAAGAGGGGTTAAGGGGTTAAAGGCAGGAAAGGGGCTTGGAGGAAAAAGAAGAATCAAGATACATCATGTATAGGTACAAATTTCCTATGATGAATGTATATTTAAAATGTACCAATAAAGTTAATTTTTAAAAAGAAAGCACAGTGATTAATGGTTTCATTAAATCTGAATTTATATATCAATAGTGCTATAAAAGCCAATTTGAAAATTGGTTGCATTGGGGCTGGGGATTTAGCTCAGTGGCACAAGCGCCTTCCTTGCAAATGTGCGGTCGTGAGTTCGATAGCTGGTACCAATAAAAAGACAAATAAATAAATAAATAAACTGGTTGCATAAAACTTCAAGCTTCTTTGCCAAAGGAAACAGGACACACAACTAGCTGCTTAAGTCAGTTTACCCCCTTTAGATCAACTATAAACCTAATGCTTTGTGCAGAGCAATGAATGCAAACACACACACACATTCAGAATTATAATTAGAAAGATGGTTACAAATCTTTACTCCTTCACTGGCACTTTATCTTCAACACAGGTCTTGGATAACATTTGAATTTTTTCAATAAAATGGAAAAATAAACAATAAAGACAAGATTTTTTTTCCAAAAAGTTTAATTTTAGTCAATTCCCCATTCATTCAAAAAATATTGAGTGTTTACTATGTGTCTATACTATTTGATACATTTGGGGTTCATCAGTATGTCAGAAAATCATAACTGCCATGACAAAAAAAAAAAACAAAAGGAAAATTACAGATAATGTAGGCTTCTAGGGAATAAGAGTGGCAAGAACAGAAATCAAGAGTTCCTTTTCAGACATGTTTAGATGTTCATAACACATAAGCCATCAATTAGATTTCTAAGTAAAAACACCAAATAGGCAGTCAAATAGAAAACGTGAGGTTCAATACAAACAAGTCTGGGCTGGAGACAATAATTTGCTGATTCAATCAAAAAAGGGTTTCTCTGGGAATATATGTTTTCTGCATTGTTAGATGATCAAGCAGCCTTTATTCTGAAAACCAGAAACCTGATTGTTCTAAAGCTTTTCTAGGAAAAATTAGAAGATTTTAGTTCTTTAATTTAAACATGCACATAATCTAGCCAGGCATGGTGGTGTACACCTTCAATCCCACATTCTGGAGCCTGAGGCAGAATTACTGCGAGTTCAACACCAGCTTAGGCTACCTACTGAGTTCAAGACCAGCCTAAACTACATGATGAGATTCTGTCTCAAACACCAAATAAGAAAAGAAAGATATAATCTAAAAGTCTGGAAGCCACAAGAGCTCAAGAATGATACCTAGAAACCTAGAATCTACAAGAAGCTAATTTCTCATTTCCAGGGTAACTTTCTTTATCTCTTGCTTTCCTTCCAACTTGTACCTTTTTAAATACCATCCAAAATTTTCTCTTTTGTTTTAAAGAAATAATTGCTCCTCTATCACAATTATATCCTTGGTAATTCATCATCAAAAAATTCTTTCACATTCCTTTAACGACTTGTGTTCGGCTCTCTTTCACTTTCATAAAGGCAACTTATATCTTTTTATACCCTCTTGATGTGATTATAGCCATTTTGTCTACCAGATAACCCTAGCATAAATCCCAAGATCTACCAAAGTATTTTAAGATATTAACTGAGCTTGTCGTGCCAGTCACTGATACTAGCACTGTCTAAACTGATATTAGAACTGTTTTTTAACTGCCACTGGATATGTTAATCTTTTTTTAGAAAGACTAGATATACTCAACTTGACCATGGTCCATCTTTATCTAGCTTAGCAAATAAATTCCTTCTTCCTGCTAAGGGTGTAGGGATCCTCCGTCTTTTTGTTGCCTAAGACATACCATGCTTTTGTATATGTCTAATAAGCTGTACTTTCTCCAAATCTAGGTATGGCTTTTGCTTCAACTTTTCAGTACCTTCTATCTTTAGCAGCTATTTCTTACAATCTGGGTCTGCATTTTTCTGAAATACCTGCCACAATTATTCTTTCCTTGTCCCCTAATCTTACACTGTCCAGTAATATAAAATTTACAAATGAAAATAGCAGATATGTGGTAGCAGAGGAAAAAGCTATACTGAAGAAAATATCACTTGATAAGGAGAGGAAGGGAACTGGAAGACAATGAGGTAACAACCCTACGACGTCAATATGGGATGTGCAAGATGTGCCATGCTAAGAAACTTGAACTTCTATCTTGACATCCGTGAGGAGACACTGATAGATTTCAATCAGTTAGGAGTTGAGCATAGGATCCATACCTGGTTGATCTTCATGTAAGTGTTTAAAAAATGTTAACTGAGAGGTGACTGAATGTGCGAACTTCTTTTTAAAAAGTTTTGTAACACTATTAAGCTATTTCTCTTTGTTTTCCAATACAAACTTACAAATATGGTCCACAGATTTTAGTGCAAAAATATACAGTAAATATAGTTACACAGTTAAAAACATTTACAAGTATCTTGACTGTTCTATTATTTATTAATTTTATTATGATTTAAGATTTAGGAAACAATACTAGCATGCTGAAAACACACAATAGCTGCGAACATTTACAAAAATGCACAAGAAAGCAACAAATACAAAAGCAAAGTGAGAATCTAAAGTAATGATTTTATTAATGGATAGTATAATGTAGACTGTCATGTGACACCACTCAATCTCAAAATCACAAGTGAAGATATGATTCTAACTGACTTCAATCATAGAAATGTAAATGATTGCAGGCTACTATATCTTTTGAACTAAAGGAGAACATTTTGCAGGCAACCCTACCTTTCTCTTTGCTTGTGTAATGCCCTATAGTCAAGAGAAACAAAGTACAGATAAAATGTATTCAGTCAAGGCCCATTATCTCTGTGTACAAATCACAAAAAATAGAGACTATTTGTGCATTTAAACAAACATTATAAAGCAGGTAAAAAACTAAAAGATATCTTAGTATGACTAGAAATACCCCCGAATGTTTAAAATTTTTATATGAACTACAAAGTATATTACATTATCATTACATTATTATATTATTATAATTACATTATAACACATGTAATTTTTAAAATATACCTAAAATAAAGAATGAAATGAAATAATCATAAATCTAAAATGTTACTAGTTAACAAACATTTTAATACATGGCTTGGGAGAGCCGAAGCATGGGAAGTCATAATTAAACCATAATAACTACAAAAAAAAATGAACAACCAGAATTAACAAACTCCTTTAAATTAGAACCCACTTCCCTACTCCAAAGCTCAAGAGTCTCTCAGTCACCACTTTTCTTTCTTTTTCTAAGTGTTGGGAATGGAATCCAGGATCTCACACAAGCTGAGTACACTCTGTACCAATAGGTTAGACTGCCCAAAACAGCCTATAATTCTATAGCATGAGTTGTCAGCACCTTTTCTCTATCAATGTCACATATATCATTTAACTTTATATTACTTTGCTGGATATCACAGAAAAATAAACACACATGACAAACTTTACAAAAGCTGATTTAGGAGGCTGGGGATTTAGCTCAGTGGTATAAGCGCCTGCCTGGCAAGCATGAGGTTGTGAGTTTGATCCCTGGTACCAGGGGGAAAAAAAGCAGATTTAGGAGATGAACTCTGAAGCATAAGACTCAATTCATTAATAACTCAGCCCATTACCTGAGTAAGATAGCGTCTATAATCTTGCCGCAATTCTTCTTTTAATTTATGTTTCTTCCGTTCGTAGTCTTCTCCAAGTGGTAAACTTAACCCATAATCAATTCCTACCAAAAAAAAAAAAATTTTTTTAAATCAGAGTGCTCATTTTCAAATCAATTCCAAGGACATTCTGTCTCCTGTATTGTAATAAGAAACATAGTTATGTTGATTCTAAATCAGGAAAGTTTTTTATTTAAATGTGTCGATAGTGAAAAATATTCCTACTCTTAAATTCTAGTAACCCTGTTCTTCTGTCCACAACAATCAACACTACTACATTTCTTCCTTGTCCAGATTTTTCTATGCATCTTATATTTATTATTCATGCATTCATATGTGTGCTGTATTTCCACTTCATCTGGTTTAAGTAGTTCTTCATTGTTTAGCATCTTGTATTTTCAAGGGCAACAAAATTAAATCAAAGAAAAGCTAATTTCTTTCACTTTTTGACAATTTTACTTTTTAAATTTCTATAAAAAATAAATATCTGTAAAATTTTAATGTGTTTTTCAGTCTGGAAAGATTAATATGATTTTTAGCAAAGAGTATCTTTGCTGTTTCTGAGAAAAAATCCATAGGGCCATATGTTGCTTAGGAAGAATTTCCAAGTGAATTTTAAAGTTAAGCTTTAAAATTTCAATTTTACATAACTGGATGTTAAATATTTTATTGTGGCAAAAGACTCAAATTAAATTTACCATTTTAACCACATTTTAAGCATATAATTCATTGACACTAAGTACATGTATTTGTAATGTTATACAATCACTATCACTATCTACTTCTGAAGCAGTAACTTTGTCCCTGAAAGTACAATCTTACAAACTCCTGTTCCCATAATATCCTGTTATGCCCGCGTAAGGCCACCAAGATACAAAACTGTCACAGCTTGACAAATTGCCTCTGTTTTCCTTCTGTGCCTATACATTTCATGCCAAACACCAACTCCCTGGACCAAAAGTATAAAACCTGGAATCCGTCCTTTGTCCTTTGTTCAGCCATTTTAGGTATGTCGGCTGGGCAGGTATACACCTAAAACCAGAACAAAATTCTCCTGGTTTCCATTTGCTTTCTCCTGTCTCTCAAATTCTATAACACTTCCAGAATTTTTTCAGTGTCCTAAACAGAAACTCGGTAAACAGATGTTAATTGTTGAAAACTTTGAATTTTCAGTAGGATGTCCTTATATATTCAAAATTAAATTTAAAATTAAAAATTAAACTGCATTTTGGGATGATAATAATAGCAATGACCGTATAATTCATAAACTAAAAGCCATTTAGTTATATACTTTATGACAAACTATGATATTTACATATAGTTGCTAAAAATCAACTTACTACTCACAAATAATTAGCAGCACATTTTTTATCAAGAACCAGATATCAGATGAATAGTCCTGAGAAGACTCAGCTTCTCAGGACAAAGCTACTTTCCTTTTGTAGTCCTACTATATACGTAGCACACAACTTAGTATTAAAAATATTTCTAAGCGCAATTAAAATTTTAAAATACTAAAAGCACTACAGATAAATTTTGACTATAGTGTATAAACTACTGTGAAAATCACCATCTTTGTCCTTTAGCCCTCATAATGCAACCAAATGATGGGAACTTATGCATGTGTAACATCACTGTTTTATTACATCACTGGAATTTTTCAGGGAAAAAAACCCAAAGAAATATAAACATAGATAGCAGCTTTTATGGAATGCTAAACCCCACTTTCCATTATAAACATTCTAGAATTCTCCTGATAAAAACTTCTGGCCTACTTAACTTCTTTGTGATAGGTGATACGTACAATAGATGATTCCTTAGGAACACCCCTCACATATGTTCCCAACCATCTTCCACATGCTCATCGTCCTAGAAAGGAATGCTCCCCTCACAAAGGAATCTAAATCTTATTTTTAAAAATACAGAAGTTAACCCTAAGGAGAGAAACAATTTTGATTCACATGTTCAGAATAGAGTATCATGTTATGGAACTAAACCACAAGGTCCATGAAGGTAAGGCTCATGCACTATTCAATTTTATAGTATCTGGCACATACTCTGTAACCAAGAAATGTTATTGAATAACATATGAATATATAAGTGAATCCCTGAGCAAAGAGAAAGAATGAGAAAAGAAAAGAACACTGTTCTTGGTATTTCATTTCTACTTTTAAAGATCTGACTACATAGGCAGGAGGTATAACAACTAGTTACCAAGGTTACATGTCAAGTTAGACAGGTCACAATGGATACTCCATTGTGCCAAGGAAAAGATGATAGGACTACAAGGATGATACCTCCCAACAGACTCAGCTTCTCAGGACGAAAACAAGCAATCTGCAGGTATTTTGTTTGGCTTTTACAGTATGTACTGGGGATTGAAGCCAGGACCCTTGCACTAAGCTACACTTCTAGTTCTTTTTAATTTTTCTGCTTTTGAGATAGTATCTCACTAAATTACTAAGTTGCCCAGGCTGGGCTTGAATTTGAGATCCTCCTATCTCAGTCTCTCAGAGTGCTGAAATTAGAGGGATGTGCTACCACACTCAGCAACTTACAGCTTTCTGAAAAGTAATGTGTTTAAGGTAGTTTTTACCACTGCTTTTCAATTCTGCTTAATGGCTTTATGTGTGAAAGTGGAATGAAAATTATGATTCATGTTCATTTATAAACTGCTGTTAATATTAAGTTTAATTTTATTTATCAAAAGTATTTAGTTTTTACTGGTGATTCAAATAGTACTTGTAATAACTGGCTACATATGCTTTCTGAATTATGTTCATTTAAGGTTTAGTCAACAGAAAACACTTAACTTTTTGTCATTTTGTTATCTAGTGCCAAAATTTTATAGCACTAACAGATAAGAACTATGGAATATATTTAAATATTCCGCATATTTTTAATTAAAATGCATTAACAATGACATTTAAATAACTTAATGAACTAACAGACATGGTGAGACTTATTCATCTATTGTCTCCTGATGATTCTGATAGCAAGTTAAGTATTAGTGTCATTTTAGGGTCGTATCAACTGATATCACTTCATCAAATAAACATCAGTGATCTTACGATACCTATCTCTGCAACTTGAGATTATACTTATAAATGAAATAAATCAGACTAACGTGTAAATATCATATTGTCTCCCTAGTATAAAAAAATGAAAGAGTAAATAAAATCCAAAATGAACAATAGATATTATGAAAGTAAAAAGGGAAGAAAGTGCTTCAAAGGACAGTACAACTGAGAATAGGGGAAAGGAGAAAAGAAAGGGAAAAAATATGTATTAGATAAGTATACCACGAATCTTTGCTAGTTCACCAAAAAGAAGTTTGTGTTTTCATTATTTGACAATTTTATCATGCCTACATACTATAATCTGAACAACTACTTTGGAAATAACAATATGCAACATATTAACCATTGTTAATTTATTTGTTTTGAAATTCTGAATCATTTTTATCCTTTTTTTCATTAAAAAAGTTGGCTATCATATGCTCAGGACTTTACAATTAGAAGTAGTTGTTGAGTTAAAATATTAAAACTAAAGCATGCCTCTTTTTAAAATTAATTTATTAGGCTGGGTTATAGCTCAGTGGCACAGCATGTGCCTAGCAAGTGTGAGTTCCTGAGTTCAATTCATGGTACGAAATAAATAAATACATAAAAACTAAGTGAATTTATCTTCCAATAAAATACTAAGAAATAAACACCCTATAAAACAAATTATCATAGAACACTTACTTCCTTCTTTCCAGAATTCTACCACTATTGAAAAGCAGTATGTAAAAAAAAAAAAATGAAAAAGCTAGGCACGGTAGTACACATCTATAATATCAGCACTTGAGAGGTTAAAGTAAGAGGACTACCATGAGTTCAAGGGCAGCCAGGGCTAGTCAGTTCTAGGCTAGCCTGAATTAAAAAATGAGATCCTGTCCCAAAATAAATAAATTAAATAAGGCAAAATACAAATTAAATGAAATAATAGACCTTTATATAGCAGGTTATTCATAAAGAAATGAAACTGAGGAAAAAATTAAACCATTTAAAACTTCAACTATATGGTCCTACAAACACTCTTTTAACTTGCACAGAATGAAAAAAAAAAAAAATCAGTGATAGAAGACAGCCTTGTATTTTTTTTCTTGAACTCAAGGAAAATGCAGTCAATATTTTTACCAGTAAGTACAAGGCTAAAATATAGGGTTTTTTAATAACTACTATATCTGATTAAGGAGATTGCTTTCTACTCTTAGAATGCTGGGAATTTTAATCATGACGGTGACAAATTTCATCAAATCCTGCTTCTACATTTACCAATAAGTACATGATTTTTTGCCTTTATTTCATTACATTGACAAATTACACTGATGGACTTTCAAATATTAAATGAATTTTGCATTCCTAGAATACAGCTCATTTGAATACGATACACAGTACTGCTCATTTTGCATGGTACTGCAGGACCATAAGTATGACCATGCAAACTAAAACTGCAGCAATTTTAAAGATCAAGAAGAAATCTACATTTTTTTGATAACTTCGTGAGTTTTTTAGCAAAACATTAGAAACTCTTTACTGCTACAAATACAAAGGGTAATTTTAAAATACTGAAACTAATGTTTAGCACAACAAAATTTGAAACATTACAAACACTGAGAATCAAATGTTTTCATTAATAAATCAAGTGTGATAGTACATTCGTGTGCACAAAGGCAGAAAGATCACAAATTCAAGCCTACCCTAGGTAACACAGCAACTTAGCAAGACAGCCTCAAAATTTTTTAAAAAATTTAAAAAGATCTGGTGATGCAGCTAAGTACAAAGGCTCTGAGTTCAAACCTTAGTACTGCAGAAAATAAATAAATAAAACAAAGCTATGCATAGCAGCATAAAACTGTAATCCCAACCGCTCAGATTGAGGCAGGAAGATCACAAGTATAACACCAGCCTGGGCAACATGGCAAGACCTGGCTAGCCTACATAAGGTCCTGAAAAAAACGGGAAAGAAAAGGCTTATCAAGATTAATTTGAACACTATTTGGATTCTTATCATGTAGCTT